AGGGAGCCTCAGGTGAGGGGGGCGGGGTGCACCTGTGGGGCGGGGGCAGCGAGTTCAACACCCCCTCCCCCCCCTCCCGCGGCTCGGTGCCCTTAGCTGCCAGGCTGGGCTCGGTGCTGAGGCATAGACATCGGTGGGGTGAGGGAGGGCACCGCATTAATTGGGTTGGGGGCGGGCGTCATTGGCTTCTGTCCTCAGAGCGGGATGCGGTGACGCCCCTGGGTGACCATGGCAGCGGCCGACGAGCTGGCCTTCCACGGTAAGTGCGGCCGCGACCTGGCCCGAGCTCCTACTCCCTCCGCCGGCCGGAACCTCCCACCCAGGATCTGATTGCCGTGTAATCTGAATCCCCAATCAGCTGTGAACCCTGACCCCGACCTGACACCCATTCCTGACTCGAACCCCGCTCCAACCCTGAACTCAGATCTCAAAGCAAAGCTTCTCTCCCAGACCTGACCCCATCCCAGCACCAGGCTTAAGTTGTAGGCGTGCGAGACCACACCTTCTAACTCCCGCCAAATTGAGGAAGCTGGGACCGTAGTTGGAGGGAAGGGTTAGGTGGCCCCGGCTGGGAGTCTTGGCCCCCAGATGAGCAATGGGCCAAACCAGACTGTCCTGAAGCCTAAAACCTGCCTGTGGCTCGTATTCCTTCTCGACAGAGTTCGAGGAAGCCTCTAATCTGCTGGCCGAGACCCCAGATGCGGTCACTACCAGCGGAAGTAGTCAGCTGACCCCACAGGGGCACGTGGCTGTGGCTGTGGACTCAGGTGGTAGCTATGGAGCCGAGGAAGAGGTCGAAGAGAGCGACAAGACAGCGGTGAGTCACAAAAGTGCCCGTGCCCTGCCTCCGTCCAGCCCCGCCCCCACCCTCTGCCCAGGCTGTAAGGGCAGCCACTGAAAGCCTGTGCCGCGCAGCTCCTGCAGGAGAAGCAGCAGCCTGGATTCTGGACCTTTGGCTACTATCAGAGTTTCTTTGACGTGGACACGTGCCAGGTCAGGCCCTGGAAGCTGGCGGGATGGGGCTTGGAGTCATAATGGGGTCCAGTCACTGTTCACTGAGCCCTCCCTGTGCAGCCGAGTGCCGGTAATGCCTGGGTGGGAGGTCACGGCCACCCCCCCCCCACCCCAGGCTGGTAGATGTCACTGTGGTGCGGTGTAAGGATTATGGGGTGATTGGGGCTCCTGTGCCTGCCCAGCTCTGAAGCCAGGAGCTGGGGCCCCTGGGAGGGAGAGTGAGGAATGGGCTTAAGGCCTCGAGGAGAAGGAAGACTGAACTGGGTAGAGTGATGGGAAGCCTGTGTCCTAGGCACAGGAGGCAGGCTCTGGCCAGGACCCAAGGTGAGGGAAGGCACGAACTGCCACAGGAGCTGTCACTTGGTCACTTGATCTGGCTGGAGAGGGTGAGAGGGGGACAGGCAGGCAGAAGCCAGATCACAAAGGGCTCGTGTGCTGTGCTGAATTTGGGTCTTATCCTGAGGGTGCTGGGAAGTCGAGGAAAGGTTTAGAGCAGGAGAGGAATGGGTGGAATCACCAGACCTAGTGCAAAGAAGATGGGTCAGGGGTGCCAGGGAGGGAGATGATAGAATCTAAATTGCAAAGACAGGAATCACAAGTGGAGAAAGGCGTATTAAACAGGAAGAGGCCAAAACTTGAAGTGTCCCTGGGCTGGGAGGAGTGATGAGACAGGCAGTTGAGGGCAATAGCTGAGAGGAGGGAGCAGGAGAGGGCGGCAGGCCCGGAAGGGTCCTTCAGACTGGCAGCACACAGTGGAGTGCAGGTGGCCGGGGGAAGGGGAGCTCCAGCCCATCAGGCAGGGGGGAACATCTGAGCCCCTTCCAGGCAGAGGGATGGGAGTGGAACCCAAGGAAGGAGCCTCCTAGGGCTGGGCAGGAGCTTGGGGGTGGGGCCCCATGCAGGCTGTTCTGCACCTCACCTTGTCCCTAGGTCCCTGGACGAATCAAAGCCATGCTGCCCAGCCTGGCCACAACTTTATCACGGCACTGTCTACTTGGAGTCGGCCGGACCTGTCTGATTGAGTGTTCATTCAGCAATCATTCCTTCAGCGTGGCTGGATTGAGTACAGTCTCTGGGCATGGCTGAGGGAAGGCAGAGGTGCTCCGGGAGGCTGGGAAACACACATTCTGTGTGGGGAGACAGACCTGCAAAAAAAAAGGCTCCCCTTGGGAGGCTGGTGGGGCTCGGAAGAACAGTGGATGCTACAACCGCGAACGTGCTGTCTTTAGTGGGTTGATTGGTCGGGGAAGGAAGGCCCCTGAGGGAGAGAATGGGCCGGGGTTGTGGGGGAAGAAGATCCCCAGGAAGGGAGGCGGTAAGGCCTGTGGTGGGAACATGCCTGAGCACAGGGCAGTATTGTGTCCAGCGGAGCAAGAGTGAAACTCTTGAGTCTCGGAGAAGGTGACAAGCTTCAGAGCCTTGAGGGAGAGAAGGAGTCTGATTGGGGCTCACTGGAGCTTCCTCTGGCCGCTCTTGGCCAGAGTAATTAGTGCAAGAGCAGAGTACCAAGGAGAAATGGAGGTGTGAAATTAAATTAACCCAAAGTAATGAAGTTAAGGGCAGACCTACTGAAGAACAGTGGGGTGGACTTGGGCGTATGGGGTGGGCGGGCCTGGGGCAGGAGGCAGCCGGGTGGCTGGGTGGGACATGGGTGGGCAGAGAAATGCTGGCCGGGTTGGAAAGCAAGTGTACCAGAGCTGGAGTTAGGAGAATGCCTAGATGTGCAGCAGTAGAAATGTTGGCAAATAAGTCCTATAGTTCAGGAGCACAAGACCAGTTCCCCCAGAAGAAACCAGCTAGAGTCGTTAGCCTAAGAGGTGACACCAAGAAGGCCCTGAAGGACAAAGATCCACGCAAAAGTGGTGAAACACAGATGAAACGAATAATAAGAACCCGAACTAGCAGATTATCATTAAAGGATCGAGGGGCTACAGAGGTTGTAATTACCAGGGAGGTGTGCGGAAGCCAGGAGCATGGAGTCCTGCCTAGAAAGCCTGCATGGAGTGTTTTCCAGAGAAGGGAGAGCAGCTCAGCCAAAGGCTGCGGGAAGGTCAAGAGGAGGGGACAGAGCCAGCGTCTGCAGCCACCGCGGAGTCAGCAGCTGGTGGCCTGTGTGAGTCCGATTGATGGAAGGAGGTCTGGGTAGCTCAGAGCTTGGCAGAAGCTTGGGTCCTAACACGGTCGACCTGTGACAAGTCACCTGTCCCGGAAGAGCTGGGCCCCTCACGTGCCCTGCCCACAGGCCCCTTCTGGATCTGTGCCACACTGGCTGCATCTGGCCCGTCACCCCTGGCAACCTGGCGCTGAATTACTGGCTCAGAGGAGGGATCCCTCCATCCACCACAGCCCCAGTTCCTGAGGAGTGGGAAAGGGCAGGCCCTAGCCGGGCAGGGCTGGGAGCCGATGGGGCCCGGAGCTGGGGGAGGCGGTGGTGACTGCCACCATACCCTGCCCAGCCCGCCCAGTGACCGTGGCGGCGTCACCATCTACTCGTCAGCTGATGCCGCTGGCGCTATTAAGGGCTTCCTGGTGGCCAGGCGTGTCCGAGGCGTGGTACCTTCCCCTGGAGGGCGTGTCGTCTATGGCTACTCCCTCGCCGTCTTCATCCCCACCGTGGTAGTAACCTGGCCGGGGATGGGGGCGGCCAGGCGCTCCTGGGGACGGCCCGAGCAACCAGCTGCCCGTGTCACCAGGTCTATGGCTCATCCCTGTCCGTGTGGCTGCAGTGGCTGTTTGAGGCTGGCCCTGGCCCTGTCAGCCACTAGCCCGTGGGTACCACCCTCTGGCCCTGTTGTCCGAGGACACCACGGTTGATGGCGCGTGCTGCTCTCACGGTCGGTCGCTGCTCCGCCCTTCTGGCCCGCGGGCTGCAAAATTATGGGGGGGGTGGGCGGTAGGGCGGGAACCTGGGAATTGAGGCATCACCGTACAGCGCTGACCTGGGGGCTGGGTTCCAGTTTTACTTCTTCCAGCCGCTGCCCTGGGCACCTCCACCCTGAACCGTCTCTGCCCCTAAACCTGCTGCCTTACACCATACCCAAGGTCCCAGGTAGGCCTAGGAGGCCCAGGCATAGGCCAGGATCAGACTCGGCCTGACTGAGGGTCTTCCCGCTTATCTCTCCCTCCTCGACGGAGGCCTCTCCAGGCTGGCTGCTCTTAAGTCTCTCTCTTTCAGGCTCCCGCCACGAGGGGACGCCTCCAGCCTGCCCTGCCCCTCACCTGGGGACTATTTATGACACCTCGAGATAAACTCTGCACTCGGACTTTTCTTACAAACAAACACTTTTATTTTCTATGCAAGGTGATTTAGAATTTATATAAAGGTGGGAAAGGGCAGCCAAGCAGGAGCTTCAGTGTGTGATGGGCTTACAGACTGCCAGCCTAAGGCCTCTGCTCCCTGGGGGGAGACGGTCGGAGGAAACAAAGGGCCACCCCACCTCAGCTGTGCCTGCCCTTCCGGGGTGCCCGGTCAGATCTGGGCCTCCTCACCTGAGCTCCACCAGCCAAGTTGGAGGGGTTAGAAAGCAGGCGAGGAGGTAGAAGAAAATGGCCTGTGCTGGGGCTGTACATTTCCTCGTTTATTTTTTTTTGTTTTTTTTGGGGGGGTGGGGGTGGGAGAGGGTTTCCTGAGGCCCCTTCCCAGGCTAGGGAGGGACCACAATGCCATCATAGTAAGAGGGACTGGGAGAATCTACAAATGTGGGGAAACACACAGGCCTGTGTGATTTCTAAAGGAAAGGGCCTTCCGACCGAGCCTCAAAGGGTCTCTCAGGTTTTTTCTTGACTGACTGTGGTGGCCCTTTCACTCAGGCCTGGGGCCTGGGCCACCTGCTCTGGCACAGGGGTGAGAGGGGACCCCTGCAGGGGCTTCCGGGGGACAGGACGGCAACTTGAGAGGCAGGGGCGGAGCCGGGCCTTCCGGGCAAGCCCCGAGGGGTGGGGACTGTATTCAGGAGTTGAGGTGAACCCTTTGGTGGGAGGGCCTCTCCGGGTCTCCAGGAGCCTGGCCCCCCACCCTGTCGAGACTGTGGGGCTGCCCCTCACCACTGAGCCTCTGAGTGGGGGGAGAGGGGCTGCTGGCTGTCCGGCTTGACCTGGTTTCCTCAAGAAGGGTCCTGTGGATTGACACTGGTTCTTCTGGTAAAAAATAAAGTAAAAAAGCAGCATGTGTGTGACCAGGCCTGTTAGAAGGGAAGCTGATCAGGTTCGCCTTCCCCTGGAGACAGGCGGGGGGGGGGGCCAGCCGGAGACCAGGTGGGGGGGTGGGGAATAGCATGCCTCCCCGACCTCCCACTCCAGGCCTACGCTGTCAGGCCAGATTACGCCTGTTACAGAGGATGTCAAACCCAAGATCCCGGGGTGGAGGGGCAGGAGGGGAAGCTTAGGGGCTCCCGCGACTTCGTGTAAATAACGGCAGCGACATACCGCTTCCGGGGCCAGATGTGGAGGTGGGCCGGTGGGTGGTGGCCGGCGATGTCGTGTAAAGTGTCCAGTTCCCACATAGCAAAGAGACGTGACGGGTGTTTTGGAGCTTCTCAGTGGGGTGGCCGCCCAGGCAGGGGGGGTGGGCAGGGTCTTCATTTGGTTTCCTGGTGCTGTCAGTCTGTTCCAGCAGCTGGAGGGGCCTAGCTCCCGTAGTGCATGGTGGTCCGGGATGGACAGAGCCATGGAGATGGCGGGGCCGCCCATGGTGAACTGGCTGTTGAGCCAGCGTGAGTGAGCACTGGAGCCCGCCCGCCGCCCAGCTGCCCTGAAGCGCCCGGAGGACCCTGTGTGGAGGGGCGCCCCAGGCACTGAGAGGCCAGCTTCCGCCCCTCACCAGCCCAGACCGCCCAGCAGAGGCAGAGAGAGTAGTGAGAGGGCAGTGAGGTGGCCGAGGGATCGCACCTCACACCAGCAGGGACCCAGCTCCATATGCCGTTCTGCTGGACAATCCCGTGCTCATTATGGAGCCCATCGGAGTGGGTGTGGTCTGACAATCCCGTGTTGGCTGGGCAAGAGGGAGGGAGGAAGGAAGGAGACGGCGTCCACCCATGCGGCCAGCCAGCCCACCTCCTCTGTCACTGGGTGTGGGCAGAGATTGGGCACAGCTGACTGCACAGGCGAGGCAGAGGAGGAGCGGAACAGAGGGGCCTCAGCCAGGGCTCCCAGGAAGAGGAGAAAAGGTGGCATCAGAGACACATGGCGCCAGAAAGCCAGCCTTAGGCAGTTCCTGGGCCGCCCTCGTTGCCTCAGGACCCCTTGCTACCCTAAAGGGATCAGGTTGTTGTGGCCACCTTTGGAGCATGGGCAATAGCCTGCTCCAGGTGGTAAGCTGATTAGGCATCCCTAGCAGCAGAGAGGAAGGTGTCAGGGCCCCTGGGCTGACAGGGTCCTCTGCCCCGGGGGGTCCCCACGGCCTCTCCTGTGAGGCTGCTCACCAGCCGCATCCCACTACTGAGGTTGGTGCTGCCGTGTTCCACATGTTCTCCGAGGGGGGGGCGTGTGGTGGGAGCGGGTGGGAAGAAGCGTCGTGCCTGTGTATCTGCAGCAGACAGACCCCAGGCTGGTGAGAGGCTTCTTGAGGCGGGGCGCCCGCATTAGGGCCGGGCTGATCCTACCTGAAGAAGAGGTTTCAGGAGGGTTACTGGATTTGGAGCCAATCTGGTCTACCTGGGCTAATACTGATGCTCATAGCTCTGTCTGCAGAGAGGGGCAGGGGAGGACAGCCATGAGGCTGGCTGGTGAGGGCCTACTCCCCAGCCCGGTGGCAACTCACACCTTTTGTTGGCAATAAGCAGACATGTCCCTGAGGCGTGTCCCGGCCTTGGCGAGAGACAGTGGTGACTGGAACAGGCACGGGACCTGAGTACCAGTGGGTCAGGGGGCTCCATTCGGTGCGATGGACAGCCTCATTCAGTCAAGCAAGACGAGCAGCTTGACAGCACAGGCCACTACCCTGTGCACCTTGAGCTCTACCACGGGCACCCCTCGATGGGTGCCCGGGGCCTGAGCCAAGGCTGGCTGTGCGTCCCAGGCACCAGGCCACGCGCCTGAATCCCACAGGGCCTCACCCCTGGTGTCTCCAAGCCGAGAGACAGAGACCAGGTTCGTGAGGAGACAGCCACCCGAGGTGCAGGAGTGAACACTCCCTCCCACAGCAGTCTCTGGCTCAAAGGTGAGACCTCCACTGCCCAGAGACCCAGGGCACCAGATCCCCAGGCCTAGTCCTTCCTCCTAGTCCCAGGCAGCCTTCGAGGCAGCAGGCAGGGTAAGCTGCAGGAAGTCCTGGGGCGGGGACAGCTGTGAGGGGCCGCGGCCTGCTCGGTTATGTACTCACATGGAGCCGATGAAGGCAGCGTCGAACCAAGTGGGCTCGCCGGAATGCAGCATGTGGAATTTGAATGAGTTTCTATCCTAGAAGGCAAGGCAATGATCACTGGGGAAGTCAAACAGGCTGCCACGACAGAGGGGGGGTGGCTGGGGGGGCTGGGTGTCAGGGCCCCTCGCGTGCCCACCACCCCTGGGGCAGGATGAGAAGTGTCTGTGGTGGCCCCAGACTCCATGAGGCCGGGCTCAGGAGGAGGGAACGCGGGTGCAGTACCTGTGCAAATCTCAGCTGCTGGCTTCAGAAGTTCACAGTGGCCATGACGGGCTTGGCCATCAGGATCGGATGTCAGCGTATCCTGGGAGAGACCACAGCAGGACCTGGCCTTCGAAACACGAGGCCAGAAGCGGGAAGAGGAAGAAATACCCCTCTCCCTGTCTGGCCGTGGCCTCCCGTTCGGCTAAGCCCGCCGCCCCTCCCTTCTTGAGCGTGTTGTTGAGGGGAGGACTGACTGACCTTGCTCCACGTGGAGAACCTTGGTGACAGCCCTCAAAAATCACCACCTTTCGCGGGCATCAAAGACTGGTTCTGGGAATTTAACCTCTGGGATCCGCGTGCACCTTGCAAGCACATGAAAGTGGTTGTCTAGAAGTAGAGACACATTCAGGAGACCATCTGGTTAAACCACCAACGTGCCATCCATAAAAGACTGTCTGAGAACCTGGCGAAAAGAGCGAAGAAAGACAGACGGGAAGATTTCCCGAGATAAACTGCTAGTTAAAAAAAGCAAGCTGGAGAACTACGTGTCCCGTCCACAACCAGCTATGACGAAAGGCTTTTCATCAGACTAACTAACACTCTGGGAAGAACTGTGTGAATAAAATACACAGGAAAACACTACAGCCTGGTTTGAAAGCACTGAAAAGTGCCCAGAGCAGCCACGGCTGAGGGCCCACATCCCTAGAGAGAAGGGAGATGTGTTTTGGCCTGTGCCTTTCCCCTTGGGGCAGGACCTTTCGGCAGCCTCCCTGGGTGGGGAAAAGCAAGGGCTCAGGGTTACCAAGGCAGCTAAGTTCAGTCGAGATACAGAAACAAAGGAAATGTAGAAACAGTGGATGTTCTATGCAGTTTCACTAATGGCGGTATGCCAGGTTCCTGAGCTGTGTGGAGGGCAGGGGCTCGAGACAAAGAAAACAAAGCAGAAAGCCACTTATAAGACGCTGAAAAATTAAAGAAAAGGCTCAGGCGGCATACTGGTGCTGGGAGGGTGGACAGGGACCCCGCCGCCACGGGCACCACAGTGAGGATTTATGGAACCACTGCAGGCGAGGCCCCTAAACAGCAACTCCCAAAGGTGTCTCTTCAAGAGCACTCCCAAGGTCAAGCTATTTTCATAATACTAAGATGTTTCTGCCTTCTTCTTGGGTTCCACTCCACCTGTGATAAACACAACCGATT